TTTTTAAATATCTTAATACAAAAATTAATTCATTAATTATATTCCTTATTGATGATTATCATGACATCCATCAATCCCGAAATCCAATTGATGAAAATCTATCAAATGTTGCACATATGGCAACTACCATGATCTATACTCCAAATGTATTACCTTTGCCACATATGTATATATTGAACAATAAAGTTTTTTACTTTAAAATTACGTTACACGCATAAAAAATTAGTGTAACATTTCGAATGTCCATTTCTTTTTTGAAAAAGATAAGTAATTAATATTATAAATAAAATAATAATGTAATATAATATAATTTATATAATAATAATATATATAATGATCTTTTTTTCCCTTACTAACCGCATAACAAGATCTGTTTTTTTTTTGAAAAAGAAAAGTAATTAATATTATAATAAAATAATAATGTAATATAATATAATTTATATAATAATAATATATATAATGATTTTCTTTTTTTTCCTTACTGGCCGCATAACAAGATCCTTTTTTTTTTTTGAAAAAGAAAAGTAATAGTAATTAATATTATAATAAAATAATAATGTAATATAATATAATTTATATAATAATAATAAATATAATGTTTTTCTTTTTTTTTCAACATAATTAGTTGCAACAATTGTTTTAATAATATTATTATTATCACATAGTGATATGATCCGCTATGCGGACAATCTAACAATGTTCCATAAATTTAGTTAGTATTATTTAGAGATGAGACAAAATAGAGACATGATGATTTCCAATTTGTTACAAATCAATTTTGGTATGGAACAATTTTCACTTAGTTGCGAGGCTTGTCCACTTGGTGGTCATTTCAAAGAACCTCGAAAAACTATTCATTCACAAGTCGTGCTTGCTTGAGTGTTTTTGAGCATTTCAAGCAAAAACGTTCAACCAATAGTCTTTTTACACAAAATTATTTTTGCCAGAAACAGAGCTTTTTTCGAAAATTTCTGACGAAAAGGCAAAATCAAAAATACATTTTTCTAATGTATCAAAAATACGTTTTGCTCATTCTATCCAATATTTTATGAGGGACATATATTGATATTAATGTCCGTTGATTTGGTTCGTTCTGTAACTTGACTTGAAATCAAATTGAGATTTTTAGTTTTAAATTTAAAATTGATAAAATTTAAATTAAAGCATTATAACAAAAAAAATCCAACAACAATAGTATTCCTTCTCTCTAACAATGGATATCAAGATTTAGTTCTTATCACAAAAACCAGCAGTTGAAATTGCTAGCGTTAGCTCTAATTAATGCAAACTATTTTTTTTAATGAATACAATAAAATTTATATTTTAATGAAAAGAAAAAAAAAGCTGAGTAAAATACATTTGTGGTTAAAACCAACCTATAGTTTAGGCATTTAGACAATTTTGGTTTAAAAATTATTATAAGAAATAAATAAATTAATATTAATAATGAGAGACTAGGTTACATGTCTGACATATGTTATGGATGGCACTTCGACGAGTCCATTTTATTTATCACAATACAAAATTTCTATTTCCTAATTCCTGCGAAATTATTTTGGATAATTTCGGCCACCATCATTAAAATACATCAGGTCATTCTCAGCTCTTGACAATAATATACTCGTAATATAATTAAAAAATAACATTTTATTATTATTGCAAATATATTAACTTTATAAGAAATCAAAATAAAAAAAAAATTTTACATTTTGATTTTTCCTTGTGTTTTCTAATACTATCTTGCAATTAAAAAAAAAAAATATAATGCAACCCTATATTCAGAAAATACCAAGTCTTTGACATTAATGTTAAGGACGTACAAAGCTTGATAGAAAGTAGGAAAATACAAATAAACTTTTACACATTTCAAAACTTTTACTGTGAGTAAATAGAATCTAAATATTTGAAAGTATTGCTAAGCAATAATATACTCATTCAGAGACAAATTTTGCTTTTTTTAAAAGAGGTTTGATTATACCCTTGGATGCCTTTGTGGGCTTCTTTCTTCGTATGCATATTTTATTTCTTCAATAAGTATTATATTAATATAAAGCTTTACTATTATGTATCAAAGGATATGTAAGATCACAAAATTTAAATAAATAAATTCGAATACATCTGTTTGTACATCATGCAAAAAAGAAAAATACATAAAAAAAACTCTATAATTCAAACGAATTTTATTATGTATGTAACACGAAGATCTTCTACTAAAATTAAATGTGACAATTGCAAATGTTGATCAAAATAGATTTCCACTATGCTCAACAACAACAATAATGATAATAGTAATTGCAATTCTTCATATTCATATTCATCTGAAAAGCAAATTGATCAAGTTTTAAAAAATTATAATAATAAGAACAATGATGAAAAACAACACGAAATTAAAGTAAAAGGAAAAGAAAGGGAAAGGATTGTTGATTGGTCGGACGAAGACGATTGGCAGCCAGTATCAATCAAAAAATATTTAAATAAAATATCATCCAATCAACAACAGCAACAACAACAACAACAACGACAACAACAACAACAACAACAAGATCCTTCCTCAATTTATTTCAAATACGATAACCCGTCAATAGACGTGGAACTATCGGAAAAGCAACAAATGGTTTATGACCTAGTGGTCAATAAACGTGAGAACGTATTTTTTACCGGTTCTGCAGGAACCGGAAAAAGTCTTCTCCTATTAAAAATCATTATGGCTCTTAAAAACATTTATGGAGTCGAAAAGATTGCCGTAACTGCTACAACCGGCATAGCAGCAGTTAACATCACCGGCACAACTTTACACTCCTTTGCAGGCATAGGATTAGGTACCGAATCAACAAAAGAGCTTATTAAAAAAATTAAAAAATCAAAAATTCATCGTTTCCAATGGCAAACTATTGAAGCATTGATTATTGACGAAGGTATAATTGGGTTTTTTTATCTTATTGATGGAATAATGATAATTATCATTTGATTATTTATTAATTATTTAATTATCTTATAATTTATTATATAGTATCAATGCTTGATGGAGACTTGTTTGATAAATTGGAAGCAATTGCACAAGCTATTCGTGATAATAATAGACCGTTTGGTGGAATATTAGTAAGTTATAATAATAGAATATGTTATATATTGATATTTAATGATTTAATGATTTTTGGAGGTGATTTTTTTTCAATGTTTACGCGAATATATATTTGTATATTTTATTTATTAGTTAATAGTCACGGGTGATTTTTTCCAACTACCACCAGTTTCCAAAGATCGTAATGTTAAATTTTGTTATGAATCGAACTCATGGGGTAAATGTATAAAACATATAATACAATTATCCACCGTTTTTAGACAGAAGGAATCTGGTAAAGAATAGATATTTATTATTATTATTAATTTGTCTATTTGATAAATTGATCTAATTTTAATTCTGATTCTATAGATCTTATTGATATGTTAAATGAGATTAGGTTGGGCATTGTGACTGAAAAAACATTGAAAATAATGAATAGATTAAAACTTTCACCACAATATCCTAATGATGGAATTCAAGCTACAGAATTGTAAGTTGATCAATATTCATATATATATATATAATATATACTTATATAATATTGATAATTAATTATTTGTTTATTTATTTGTTAAATTACAAGATACTCAAGAGTTGATAAAGTTACTAGTGCAAATCTTGTGCTTTTAAGTAAAATTCAAAATAAATCATATATATACCATGCCAAAGACTATGAACCGACCAAAATTGGTCAATTAAAGACACTTATTAAAGGTTGCTTGGCACCAGATAAATTGGAATTAAAACGTGGTGCGCAAGTAATGCTTATTAAAAACATCAATAGAGATTTAGTTAATGGGAGTAGAGGTATTGTTGTTGGTTTTTATTCAGATGCTACTAGAAAAAGTTATTATGATGGTGAAGATGAAATTATGGAGTTTGACCAGCGAGATGAAATATTACCAATAGTTAGGTTTACTGAAAATAGAGAGTTGGTTGTTCGTGAAGCTGAGTGGAGATTAGAAACTGTTGGTAATGTTGTATTAGCAAGTAGACGACAGGTGGGTATTTTTGTATTTATGTATATGTATGTGTATAGTTTTTTTTTTGTAATATATATTTATTATATATTTAATGTAATATTAGATTCCTCTTATACTTGCTTGGGCAATTAGTATTCATAAAAGCCAGGGCCAAACACTGGAAAGAGTCAAAATTGATTTAAAGGAGGTTTTTGAAAAAGGTATCTATATATAATATACTCTTTAATAATGATGATTTATGTATAAATAAATAAATTATTATGTTTTTTGTAAATAGGACAAGCATATGTTGCTTTGTCTCGAGCTAAATCATTAGAATCTTTACAAGTTTTAAACTTTACAAGAGAAAAGGTAATGGTTCATGAAAAAGTAAAGAGATTTTACGGGTCACTAACAGATTAATTAATGAATTGAATATTAAATATTTATTTATTTTTTATTTTTTGTGTTTATACATATTTTATTCGTATATTAGTTTATTAATTTAGAATTTTATTAGCAATTAGCAATTTTTTATTATTTCTTTGTTTTTTTTTTCTTTGATTTTTTTAATGTATATATATATTTGATAATCGAATTCCTCTTTTACACAAAAACAAAAGATCATATCCTATATAATATCACGTAACACGAATATTATTATATGTAATGAATAAATAATAATTCACAAGATATTGTTATCACACATGTATTTTAACATTCTTCTTCTGCCTCATCTTCTTGTTGATTAAATGAATGCATTGTTCTAAATGTTAAACTGACTCTACGACTTCTAATTATTTCTTTATTACCATAATATTCTATATAATCATTTGAGATTGAATGTTTATAATCAAATCTCGATGATTTTGTCATGATTAAAAGTGATCTTGGTTCTTTAAAAGAAAAAAAATAGTTAATAATCAAAATCTCCTTCAATGTAGGTTTAATTATAGGTTTATTTACTTAGCAATATAGAGTGTTGATTTGAAGAATCTTCTGAATGGGTGAATTTCATTAAGCAAGAAGATAGTAATGAAAGGCTTAATACCACGGGACCAAAAATAGTTGCAGTATCTATATGAGGCATTATTCCTACAATTATATTACATACATTATTTTCTGCCTAATTACATATTATTATAATTATAATTATAATTATAATTATTACCTTGGCCAGCTTCATATTCATTTATTATACACATATTTGGAGGTTCTTGATCAATTTCTTGATTAATCATTTTTTTAATTATAAAATCTAGAAAATCTGGTAATGGACCTAAATCTTTCATAATTTTTCTAAGGAAATTGATCAAATTGAAGGCTTTTTTTTTATTTTACTTTACTTCAAACAATAATAGTAATAATAACCTGTATCTATAACTAAATTCATAACCATAATGTTGTGTACGTCTTTTCATTTCTGGATTTGGTCTTTTTAAATATATTATATACAATAATAATATTAATTACGATCATATTATTAACCATATTATTATTATTGCTTACGGTATTCCATTTCCTGACCAATGCATCGAATCAATTTGATTAATTAATTGTATTTCTTCATTTTCTGTAATAAAATTTTCTATTATATAAAGCCCTGGTATTGATGTTATTGTTTTTGCTTGCATTTTTTAATATAATAAATTATATTCATCTTTTTTCTATTACTCAATATTAAAATTTGTACAACGAAGATTGGCATTTACATTATGGATGTTACACTACCGAAATAATTTTTTGATGTTTACTATTTACGCGATTATAAAAATACTCCGCCAGAAATAAATTTTTAATACTAATTATTGAAGAAACAAATTGAACTAGTTATTTAGCGTTTCAAAATGGATAAATAAATAAATGGAATAAATGGAATGAATGGAAAGTAATTTTTTTGTATATTTGTAATGCCTTACTTTGTGCCCCACCTGTTTCTTTGTCATTAGTTTATCTCTCCATTTCTTCATCTGCTTCTTCCATTCATCCTTATCAGCTTCCAAGTTCTTCTTTTCTTCTTCTAATTCCCCTTTTTCACCCTCGTAATCCCTCTTCCACTGATTCAATCTCTCCAGCTTCCCAATATACCTAACGTTCTCTCTTTTTTTTTTTTGGTGTGCCAAGCGATTCAAAACTCTTTTTGATTTTCAACGCTGTATCGCTAAATTATGACATGCATCGTTTTAAATTATAATATATATATCGTTTTAATATTTTTTCAAAAAAAATAAATAGTTTCAAATACAAAACCAAATAATTGAACATGCAAGCCCAATTTTTTTTGCTGATGTCAAAAGTTAACTTATGCCAAAAGTAATTGTGACACTCACTATTAAAAACACATGTGTAAGAATAATTACGTCAATATCTAAATACTTTGGGTTGCATGTGGAGACACTTGCCGTAAATGATTGGGCTGGTAGCTACCATTGCCGTAAATAGATACGGCTGCCACAAATAACTGCTACTGTTGCAAATAATTTTCAAGATTAATATAATTATTGTCATTAGTATTATTAGTCATATTTATTAGTCGTGAGAAATTTTCTTGAATTATTTGTGATCTGCAGCAACTAATTTTTTGGATTGTTACAGTTATGTGTAATAGTAAAATCGCAATTATTTGCAGCAGTCATAACTATTTGCAGCAGCCTGTATCTATTTGCAGCAGTCGTGGCTATATGCGGTAGCCGTATCTGTTTGCGGTAACCGCATTTATTCTATGAAAATTAAAATACGGAATTAACGTGGGTTAAATACGTATTTCTTGTACGGTTTTGAAAAATTTCCCCTTTTCAAATTTATTGTAAAGTACAGAATCAGTACGGAATTTGTAACATGAAATTTTTGGATTCAAATCAGCTGCAAAAGATTTAAAAGAATCAAAGATAATTTTTTTATACATAAATGAATGATAATCATAATATATAGGTTAAGAAGTTAATACTACAAAGGGCTTTATTTCAATCAATTGAATTTAAATCAAATGATTGGTTATACGAGTCAAAATTTTATAATTTAGGTGTATATTTTAAATTGTTGACGATATTTAAAATTTAAATAATAAAAACGTGCAATTTTTAATATGATGAATGATGGAACTTTGGCTTTGAATGAGTCTAAGAACATCAATTTACCTCAAGAATTGGCAGAATTGCAAATTTTGGATTCAAAACAACTACAAAATCAGCTGCAAAAAGATAAAAAAAATTTATAATCACTGAATGTCTCCCGTGTAAATATAATATTTAATATGTAGTTAAGAAGGTAAAATTACGGAAGTTTTATTTTAATCAATTGAATTTGGGTGGAGATTAAATTATATGAGTAAAAATTTCATAATTTAGGCATATATTTTTAAATTGTTGATTATTCTTTATAACAACGTGTGATTTTTGGGTATTATGAATGTTAGAACTTTGGCTTTTGAATGGGTCCATGGACATCAATTTATTCCAATTTATCAACATTAAAACCTTCACAACAACAACATGCGACTTTTTAATATAATGGATGGTGGAATTGCAGCTTCAAAATGAACATAATAAATATCATTGAGAATTGACTTGATATGAATTTTTTAAATAAGGGTGCTGACATATATTAGCTAATATTTTAGGGTGTGGGAGGAGAAACCGCACAATTCAAATGAACTGGTATTACGCAGTAAAACCCAATTATTTTTGTCATCATGGGCCCATTTTAAAAGCTACAGGCCTAAAGTTTTATCAGAACATCCGGTTTCTTATTATCCTTAGGAATATGGATTTAAAAAAATGTTTGATAGTGTTTCCTTTTACTTTTATATATTGTGTTGTAACCATCCTTAATGGGGTAAAAACAGTTTAAATTTGACGGCTTTATCTCAAATATATTTATAACAAGGTAATCATTCTATCATTATTGTTAAATTAATAGTTTTGTATTATATATATCTGTTTCTTATTATTAAATAAATAAATGAATGCGGATAATAGAAACAAGGTAGGCTGTTCCATATATAATTATAAATAAATAAAACACACAAAAGAAACAAGGTTGTTCTATAATTGTTGCTAAATTAGTAGTTTTGTATGATATCTTTATTTTTTTATTATTTATTATTAGATAAATAGGAAAGAAACAAACAATTATTGTCAAATTAATAATTTTGTATAATATATATCTATTTCGTGGATGATAATAATTTTGTATAATATGTATATATCTATCTATTTATCTATTTCGTGGATAATGGTTGTTCTATAATTATTGTTAAATTAATGGTTATTAGATAACATGAATAAAAATTTGCTTCTGATATCTATTTGACAAAAACTTGTATATTTTTATAATTGGTTAAATACTGGGCTAGCAAAAATACATGCAACGATTTAGTTGAAGCTTCCTTTTCTCAAAAATAAAAATTTTCTTTGTGTAATTTATCGGGCCAATCAAATTTCGTGATAAAATCAAAATATGATTGACGAAAATCATTGCCAATTTGCGAATGTCCGCCATGCTGTAAAATTATGGAATATTAAAAGGAAACAATCAGCTGCTAAAAAATGTTATGGTTATAACTAATTGCAATTAAATCCATTTATCTATTCATTATTTTATTCATACATAAATATTGTTAAGGTTGACAATTTAGCATTGTAACATGGTACTCAACTTCAACAAATAAAGGAAATCACTTTCATAATATGGGTCACTTCATCTCAGGACAATCAATAATGATTATTTCCTGAAGAAATGTTACTTTGGAATCACTAGTTTTTTATTATGATGATGCACCTATTTCATTGAACCAAGTCTATAATTTAACAATTGTAATTTTTGTGCTTTTGAAATCATAAAAGAGAAATAAAGATCTATGTATGATTTATAAATTCGTGTTTACATTTATATGCATATTTGAAAAGAATTGATATATTGTTTTGAGGAAAACATCATTATCATTATTGCTATCAAGAAACAATTAATGATCAAAGTGAAAAAAATAATCGAAGAGGAAAGTTCAGGAGGAAGATTTTATTGAAGTAACACATGATTAACAATGTAAATTTTACTCAAAGATTTAGTAGATTATTCAGTGTGGATCCATTATTTAAAAATATATTTAAATAGATTATTTAGTTTCGTTGATGATAAAATAAGAGCAAGGATAACAAATAGCCTAACCAATAGTAAAGTATTAAAATATTATTATGTTTATAAAGATTTATCTTTTTAAATATCAAAAAGGTTTTTGATTTGATTTTTTTGTGTATAAAACAATTATTTAAAAAGAAAAACCATTATCTAATCTAATTGTTTCTTGGTAAGGAGACAAGAAAATAATATTATATTTTTTATGAAATAGAAATTAAAAAATGAAATGAAAATTCAAGTATTGTGTTTGCACTGATTGAAGGTGAAAAAATATTTCATTGTAGAATTTAGTGTTAAAATTTTAAAAATTAACATTATTAGAAAAAGAAATAAAGTAAATAAATAGGTAAAAATTAATTATTAATAATACATTAATATATTATATATAATAATAATAATAAAAAGAGAAAGATTATGAAAATAAAAATCTAAATGTTCATATTTATAATTTTAATGCTAATGAATTTTTTAATTACTGGGTGTTTTTGTTGGTTTTGTTTCCTTTTTTATTATTTGATTTAACATATTAAATGATTTGTATGAAGTTTCTGAAGATGGTGTTGAAGGTGGAGTAGAAAATGGCGATGCTGATAGTAGTGTGTATATGTTAGCCGAATTTAATTTTGATTTGGTTTCCACTAAAAACATTAATATTAGTAATGATTAATTGATCAATTAAACATTTCAATATCAAGCAATTAATCAGGTTTACTTACAATCATTTGCTTCAGATTCTGGTGGATCAATCCAACCAGATGTAGGGACAACACCTTTTGTTTTTAATTATAATAAAAATAATAAATATATTAAATATATTATAAATATAATAATAAATCTCAAGTATCCTCCCAAAAAAGATATTTCAGCGAAAAGATATTTAAAAATGAAATTGAAAAATATATGTTTGTTGAAAATATAATGAATGTGGGCCATTAATTAGTTTTCTTGAATTCATTAAACTTACATGGAAAGTAAGAACCAAACCTTGCTGCTCTATTTATCCAATCTATAATATAAATATATACAAATATCATGAGATATGTGGTATATAAAAAAGTGTGAAATGTAATAAATATTCAAAAATATTCTTACTTGGAGTAGCTTTACCAACCAATCTCAGGCATAATTCATTTGTAAAATGATTACAATTTCTAATAATATCGAATATTATTTAAATATTATAATTGGTTTGTAATTGTAGATATTCGTAAATAATTAGAAAATACCTTGTTAATAGCCTATAGGTATTTCCTTTCCATTCTTTTGATAGTTCTTGAATTATATTTTTGATTTCTTCTTTATCATACTTAGTATATCCGATTAAAATGGAATCTCTAAAAAATTTTTTTTTTGAAATTATGATAAAATATTTATTATTGTGTGATAAACTATTCCTACTATTATAATAATGTGAATATAACTATATTTTTACTTGTAAGTGACATTTGGTGGTCCCATTCTTGGAGGTAATTCGAATACTCCAGTAGAATCACCATCACTCCCGCCAAAATTATATTCTAAAAATCATTAAATAATTAAGAATATTAACGAATAATCAATTATCCAGCTATTACAATTATTATGATTACAATTATGATTACGATTATGATTAGTACCTCTTCCTAATACTTCTACTCCAGAATGAAATACTCCTAAATAAATAAACAATTAATTAACAATTAATTAGCACATTCATAATTCACAAATTAATTATTTTCCATGATTTAATTATTACCAACTCCAAATTTATATGCAACATCTGTAATGGTTCTTTTTGGCAGCTTTTATTTATTTAAAAAAAGTTATTAAAATTTAAAGCAACTTGTAATATTTTTTATATGATATTTTTTACACTTACCATATCATACACATTCACATACACCTTTAAAATAACAATAATAATAACTAATTAATAAATAATGAATAATAAATCAAACGTGTAGAAATATAAAAAAGGAAAGTACTGATTTTTACCGGAATTTGGCATTCTTTGTCCGAATGTGCTGATGTACTTGAATCTTCGAAGGAATAATATAAACAGTTCATTTTATTAATAATGTAAATTTTTTTTTTAAAAAAAATAACAACCTTTAATAGTGTAAATAGATAAATAGATAGTAGTAATAAATTATAAATAACTGTTGTGAAATATGACGTTGATTCAACATGTGATTCGCTTGCATCCGATCAATGTTTATTATATATTACTAATTCGATTAGGAGATTTTCCATATACATATTAATAATGAAGTCACTATAACGAATGAAAGCTTTTTCTATAGTAATAGTTAGTAATAGTGTATAAACAGTCTATCTCCTCCATCACTATAACTATATTAATATTGATATTAATATATTCTACAGTCCAGAACTCATTTACACCAAACATTTTAAATGGTATTTTTCTTTTTTTTTTTTAATGTATAAACAATACGTATTAAAACTCCGTTATATAACAAAAATTCATTTTATCGAGTTCCATCTTATCGAGTGCCGACTGTAAAACAATTTTTTAAATTTAATTATAACCATCTGTTTGGTTTCCGACCGCCG